AGCAGCAGCAGCAGCGGCAGCCGCAGATCAGGAGCAGGGGCAGCGGAAGGAGCAGGAGCAGGCGGCAGCAGGATTGGCAGCAACACAAAGGAAGGGTGCCCTAAATTCAAAACCGTCAACTGGCGCTAGGTGTCGTTGCTGGAGCCATCCACGGTGCGGTTCTGACCCATGCAATCTGCCTCTGAGAACAAAGTCACCTGAAGGGCGGATGCCTAAATTCTCTTATCCAGGGAGTTTGGGGTTGGGGAGCTTACGGTGTAGGGAGTTTAGAGCTCTGGGGCTTGTGGGTAGTCTGGCTCATGCAGACACTATGTTGCTCAAGATCTGAGCTCGTGATCCAGGCAGCACGGCATACAACCTGACCCCAGGACGCCTCAAGCCTAAGCCCACGGTTTAGGGTTTAGGGTCCAAACCCTAAACCCTAAGCCCTAAACTCTAAATCCTAAACCCTAAACTCTAGACCCTAAACCCTAAACTCTAAACCCTAAACTCTCAACCCTAGACTCTAAGCCCTAAACTCGATACTCTGAGCATCAACCTGGCCCTAAAGCGCTAGGAAGCCGTGCAATTTGCAGCATGATTATAGTTTAGGGTTTTAGGGCTTTAAGGCTTTAGGGCTTAGGGTGTGAGGCTTCAGGGTTTAGGGCTTCAGGGTTTCAGGGTTTCAGGGTTTAGGGTTTAGGGGTTTAGGGGCGAGCCTCTCTCTCTTCCCCCTAGCCCCGGCAGCCCTGGCTTCGGGTTCCGCGCCTCAAAGGGCTTGACGAGGGCGAAGTTACCGACCAGCCCTTCACCTGCTTTAGGCTTAGAGTTTAGGGCTTAGGGTTTAGGGTTTAGGGTTTGGGGTTTAGGGTTTAGGGCTTTAGGGCTTTAGGGTTTTAGGGCTTTAGGGTTTAGGGCTTTAGGGCTTTTTAGGGCTTTAAGGCTTTGGGGCTTTAGGGCTTTAGGGTTTAGGGTTTAGGGTTTAGGGTTTAGGGTTTAGGGTTTGGGGTTTAGGGTTTAGGGCTTTAGGGTTTTAGGGCTTTAGGGCTCTAGGGTTTAGGGCTTTAGGGCTTTTTAGGGCTTTAGGGCTTTAGGGCTTTAGGGCTTTAGGGTTTAGGGTTTGGGGTTTAGGGTTTAGGGTTTAGGGTTTTAGGGTTTAGTGTTTAGGGTTTTAGGGTTTAGTGTTTAGGGTTTGGGGTTTAGGGCTTTAGGGCTTTAGGGCTTTAGGGCTGTAGGGCTTTAGGGCTTTAGGGCTTTAGGGCTTTAGGGTTTTAGGGTTTAGGGTTTAGGGCTT